AGATTGACTGGAACTGAGCACAGGCTGCATCCAGGGAATGAAGTAGAGACATTGGCTGGTACTCGCTGTTTGCTCCCAACTGTAGGTGAATGGCCTGCAGTCTGGAAGACACAAATCTGACAGAAAAAACTGCAGGGCCCAGATACAAAGCAAGGACTAGATTTAGGGCCCAACTTTGAGAGGATAGAACTTCCTTAGCTCTGTTTGGATTCAGATAATTCAGTTTTCCAATCATATAGTATCAAATCCACTTCATAGCCAGACTCAGGAATAGCCAGGTGGGTAACATTCTCTTTCAAAGGAACATAATGGGGAAACCGAGCCAGGAGGATCCCATCTTAGACTGAGGCTAAAATTGTCCTCTCAGCTTTTCCTGATACTGACTTCCCACCAGTATCACATTCTCTGAATAGCTTGTGGCATTTCTGTCAAGATGGTGGGTTATTGATTATGGATGGATTATGACCCATCAGACAACTCAAAATAAAATCCTATGAGCTTTTACCTCAAACAGCAAGTTATACTAATCACAGCTTAGGAAAAACTTTTCCAGGATTTACATCTCAAAACTTAAATTTATCCTAATGTAATCATTAGAGATTTCTATATACTTGCAAATTCTCAGCAAGCCATAACCCAAACAAGCCTTTTGGCTAGTTTACACATTAAAACAATAACCAACAATAGTAGATTATTTTAGTGGTAACCAAATTATGAAAAGTTGCTTGACGTAACTGATATAGAAAGTTCACCAATTTGAAATGTGAAACAAACCCATTACCAATCAGGTGACTTCAGTTTTGTTAAATGCACTTCCAAATTACTTTTACACAGAGAATCAACATCTCATCGTTAACAGTTAAAACTACAAATTTAAAAGAGCATGCTTACCCAAGTTTGGAGGCTAGCTTCATTACCTTGAGCAGGATGTGCTGAACCTGGGTTCAAACCTTCCAGGCAAAGGTTGCCATAGGGCCCAAGCCCATTGCCAGTGGGGCCCATGCTGTAGCTGCTGCCCCTCCCCCCCCTTCCTTTTCCCCAGGTGGGGGAGGGCGAAATCAAAAGTGCTCAAGGGAAGGGAGTGGAAGAAAAGGGTGACCAAGGTTGTAAGGAGGAGTTCTAAACTCCTTAATGATCAATCACAAAACCTCCAGAATCTGCCAAGATATTTTCAGGTGTTCTGACTTTCCCCTGTAACCTCCATAAAGGAGAATTCAGGGGCATAGAGGGAAGGGAGTAAGTAAGCCTCAGGGAACCAAAAAGCAACTGCAGTTTTCCCCAATTCCTTAGTGCCGAGGGAATTCACAGATACACTTCTGGATAGGGCGTCCATCCTTGTCCTCTATGCTGCAGAAGGTGTACACAGGTCCATAGCCTTGAACCGACCCAGTGGACCGAGAGCTTGAGAGCGTCAGGTCCAATGCTAGACAGCCTTGTAACTGTCTTCCAGAAAAGCACCTCCAAGCCTTTGTGCTTGGAGAGCAACCCCAACTGCAGAGCAACAAAGGAGGGGAGAGAGGAGGCTTACATACCTTCCAGTTTTGGCTGGAGAAGAACTTGGGGTTAGGCAGTTTCCTCGTATGGGCCATCAAAATGATGCGGTTTAGGGGTTCAGGGGTGCTGGGACCCCAAAGTCACAACACGTAAATTCTGCCCAAAAGAATTCGACCCAAGCCTTCTTTCAGCCAAAAACAAGGTTTATTGAAGTTTCGCCATATTAGCTAGACTCTTAAGGAGTCTGAGCATCTATGGGCTATTGGCTAGATTGTAAAAATCTGAGCATCTTAATGGAGACAAGATGGACCTTATATACAGAAAGACCTTATAAACAGAAAGACCCTGGGAGAGTGGCCAAGTAGTCCATGAGGTAATAGAATTCCCAAAGGTGGGAAATGGAGCCTAGGTGGGACCAAGGGTGGGAAATGGCCTGGGGCCATAGGGAGGCAAGACAATGGAGGGGAGATTAGATGTAGCCACAATGAAAGACCAGTTAATGGGAGTATAGCCACCAAAGATTTGGCCATGTGGGAAAGTACAGAGTCCATGGTAATAGAATTCCCAATGGTGGGAAATGGAGCCTAGGTGGGACCAAGGGTGGGAAGTGGCCTGGGGCCATAGGGAGGCAAGACAATGTAGGGGAGATTAGATGTAGCCACAACGAAAGACCAGTTGATGGGAGTATAGCCACCAAAGATTTGGCCATGTGGGAAAGTACAGTGTCCATGAGGTAATAGAATTACCAAGGGTGGGGAATGGTCTGGGGCCAGATTCCAGCCCCATCAGGGCCAGAGTTTTTCCTTTCTGGGGCTCAGATTCCAACCCCATCAGGGCCAGAGTTTTTCCTTTCTGGGGCTCAGATTCCAACCCCATCATATCCACTGAGCAACCTAGCTGGCCAAATTAGTTGCACAATAAAGGTTTTTTTTTTTTAATGGTAAAAGCGTCTAATTTAAGATACAAAGTCTAAAAATAACAAATATATTGTAATAGATAGAGTTCCTGACTTTGAGTCAGGGTGACCTAGATTTCAATCCGACTTAGTAATTGTATGACTGTAGTCAAGTTAAAACTTTTCTAAATATCATGCAAGTCTCTAAGATTATCTACTGGTCAATCAGTCAATAAACATTTACAAATGATAGTCTCTGTCCTCAAAGGGCTCATAGTCAAATGGGGGAGAAAACAAGTAAACAAATATGTACAGACAAGCTATGTAAAGGATAAATAGGGAATAATTAAAAGAGGGAAGGCAATAGAATTAAGAGGAATTGAGAAAGGCTTCCTGTAGAAGGTGGGATATTAGTTGAGGCTTGAAGGAAGCCAAAGTAGCTAGTAGGTGGAGTTGAGGAAGGATAGAATTCTAGGCATGGAAGAGGGCTAGAGAAATGCCTGGAGCCAAGAAATGGAGTGCCTTATTCAAGGAACAGCAAAGAGGTCAGTGTCACTGAATTGAAGGGGAGTAAGGTATAAGAAGACTGGAAAGGTGTGAGTGTGTGTGTGTGTGTGTGTGTGTGTGTGTGTGTGTGTGTGTGATAAAGGGCTTTGAATGCCAAAGAGAAGATTTTATATTTTATCTAGGAGGTGATAATGAGCCACTGGAGTTTACTGAGTATGGGTGAGACATAATCATACCTGTACTTTAGGAAAATTGCTTTGATTGCTGAATGGAGGGTGGGAGAGAATTGAAGCAAAGCAGACCAACCAGCAGACTGTTGCAGTAGTCCAAGAATAATGTGATGAAGGCCTGTACCAGGGTGATGTCAGAATCAGAGGAAAAAAGGCCTCATATTTGGAAGATGTTGCAAAAGTAAAATTGACAGGCCTTGGCAACAGATTGGACAGAGGGAGGGAGTGGTGAGAGTTAGGAAGAAAAATGACACCAGGTTTGTGATTCTGAGATGGGAAGTTGGAGTTGCCCTCTGGGGGAATTTGTTAGGGGAAAAGATGAATTTGGTTTTTGACATCTTGAGTTTAAGATGTCTACTGGACATCCATTTTTAGATGTCTGGAAGGCCAGTGGATATGGGAGACTAGAGGCCAGCAGAGAGATTAGGACAGGATAGGAATACTTGAGATTATTAACATAAAGGTGGTAATTAAATCCCTGAGCATACAGGAAGAAAAGAAGAGGACCTAGGACCAAAGCCTGTGGGATACCTATGGTTAGAGGATACAAACTGAATGAGAATCCAGCAGGGTGGTATTCCAAAAATCGAAGTTATAGGCATGTTGTTTTCGATGTTGGCTTCCTATTTTCCGCACAGACAAAATTATATATCCTTGGTGTATTGATAAATTTTACAATGCTTGCCCTGATAAAAAGGAAGCCCTCATGATTCATTTCTTCTAAGGCCTATTTGTATAAATGAAATCAGGAAGCAAAAACTAGAAAATAAAAACTAATCAGGTTTGTCAACTGTCCTAGAAAACATTAATTTTATACAAATGTCCTGCTATTTAGTGAATTGTTATAAGAAAGTGAATGTGAACAATGCATCCCTTAGTTTCATTGTTAGAGTAAATGTGCTTAATCAATTATCTATTTAGTCATTCAGTGGTCTGTTGTGCTCCTACTCTGTTCAAGACAATATCCTAAGTAGCTGAGGATTTAAAAAATACAATACATAGATTCTCTTCCTTCTTTAAGTTTATAGTATAATAGGGGTCATGAGACAGATACACAAAGAACTCTAATATAAGGTAGTATCTGAAGTTGCACTAAGAGATAGAATTATAGGCATCAAGAAGAGGAATTGTGACTCAAAAAGCATGTATTCCCTCTCTTTAGAGGTCTTCATGCAGAGAGTAGATGACTACTTGTGAGAATTTTATGGTCAAGATTCCTTTATAAATTGGAGTAGATGGCATCTGAGTTCCTTTCCAAATCTAAAAGCTGATGATTCCTGGAGTTCAGTAAATGGAAGCAGGTTTATGGAGAACTTGAAGAAAGTATAGAAATTGGACAAAGCTTGAGGATAGGTAGCATTGGCAAGGTGGGCAGTTCAGGCTGAGGAAATAACTGTGATCAAAGGCAGTGAGAATGGAAAGCTTCCAGACATGTGTAGGGATCAGGAAATATCCTACTTTAGCTGGAATGTTGGATATTTAAAGTGTTTGGAGAAGCTGGAAAGGTAAATGCAACTTCATTTATTTGGATTATGCAAAAATCACATTGTACACTGCATTATTCTCTTCAATTATAACACTGAGTAATTGGTGTAGTTTATTTCTTAAGAAGTGAAGTATTTTTCCCATTTTGATCTGCTTAGAGGCTATATACCAGATATTTAGAGTTATAGGAACACAGATTTAGAGCTGGAAAGGTCCCTTTGAGGTCATCTAATCAAATACTCATCTCTTTGGATAGTATGTCATATGTCTTGGAGTTAAAGTTCTTATAGATCATAATAGGTCATTATACATTTAATTTCCATAAGGAATTTGTGTACTCGGTTAAACTAACCACATGTTTATATTATTTGTTTGTTTCTGTATTTCAGAGAGGGCCAGCAGTCACCTGAACAGTGGCAGAAGATGTATGGAAGATGCTCTGGTAATGAAGTGTACCACATTATCATGGAAGAAAGTACATTTTTTGCTGAATATGAGGGAAAGAGTTTCACATATGCCTCTTTCCATGCACACAAAAAGTATGTTCCTGTTGCCAAGGTTGTTTGAAAATATAAATGAATCTTACTGTTTATACACAGCTTCCTGAATCAGGACACATTACAATTCTTTACAAATTTGTGTTCTCTGGGTTGCCTTGAAAAAAACTATCATGCAATCCCTGCAAATTCTCTAGGTATTTGTATTGGTATTAAGAAGATTTAAGATTTTCAGGAGAAAGTTTCTCTCTTCTTAAAAAGAATAAATAAAAGCATCATTACATTTTAAACTACCAAGTATACTTTCTTATTACAGCAATTAAAAACTGATAAAAGGAAAATAATCCTTTTGGACCTAATCTCTTAAGGGAATTTGCAGATGAGAATAAAAACAAAACAAAACATCTTGAATATTGAGAGATTTCATATGGCCAAATATAATTTGGGTCATCTTCCCTCCTGATCTAAATAGGAATGTTTTTTTTTCTCCTGCCTTTTAGTCAGAGAACCAGAGAATGACCTTCTGTGGAAGGAAATTATTTTCTGTCATTTTAAAACTGTCATAACTGCATATAAGTAAAGGCAGTTATGAATCTATTTCTTAATGTATTTAGTAATATAGGGTTTACTTTTTAATTCTAATATTGCTCTGATAATGAGTACAAATATACAGTTTCCCATGGGACTCTAACTTTCACCATTTTGAATTTTTTAAGGTCTTCATGAGCAAAGTATTATTTAGGCATTTTTCTCAGAATTAAGAAAAGTATTTTTAGACAAAATTATTTCATTAGGTGAAAAATTAACTTCAATTTCATTTCTCAAAGGTATAAAATTTAGTGTGCACATAACTTAGAACACACATGATATACATGATTTTATATATACATATATATAATTTTATATATACACAGACATACATAATATATATATATGAATAAATAATACAAAGCTCCTTTATGGTTATAGACTATCATTCCTCATTTCTAAATCAAACTATTATAGAAGAATACTTTTAGGGAGTTATTTTTTAATAATAATAATGAGTATAGTAAACCAGAAAGACCATTGGTTAGGGAATTAGGAGGACTGGGCTTAGTCCCATTTCAGCCATTCACTACTTCCTATGTGACCTGGGGTATTCCTATCCTTTGAGTGTCACTTTGCTCATTTTTAAAATGGGATAGATGATTCCCCCCCCTTTCCCTTATGATTTTGAAATTCTGAGAGTCTGTGTGACTCTGTAAATATGAATGTCTTCTGCAAATTAACATTTGTCTTCTGTTAAATTATAATTGTTACATGATTATATTTTGCTTTTTTATTAAGGTTTGGAGTCTGCTTGATTGGTGTTAGGAGGGAAGATAATAAAAACATTTTGCTAAATCCAGGTCCACGTTACATTATGAATGCTACAGACACATGCTTTTACATTAATATCACCAAAGAAGAAAATTCAGCATTTAAGAATCAAGACCAGTTAAGAAGAAACAATGCATCAAGGTCATTTTATCATGGACCTTCCAGATTACCAGTACATAGTATAATTGCCAGTATGGGTAAGTTTTCAAGAAATATTTCATTCAATACACATTCATTAAGCACTGACTGCTTACAGAAGGACTTTGTTAAGCACTGAATGAATTAGATGCATATTATAAAGTCAAACTTCTGGGGAGTAATCTGAAAAAAATTCTCAATTAGTGAATTTTTTGTTGATTGATAACATGAAAATTATGCTTATGAAATAAGACAATCATTTTTCTTAAACTAAGATAGCAAAACTTTAAAAATATCAACCAGGACATTTCTACCTTTTAAAAAATCTAGCAATACAATGTAGAGTGTATCAGATGTTGAACGTCATAACACAATTTATTTTGACTTGACAGTCAAAGAGGGGCTGCTGATGGCTTAGTGGATAGAATACTGGGTATGGAGTCAAGAAGACTTGAGTTCAAATTTGGCCTCAGATATTTACTAGCTGTGTGACCCTGAGCAAATCACTTACCCTCTGCTTCCCTCAGTTTCCCTCAGTTGTAAAATGGGAACAATAATAATTGCACCTACTTCATTGGATTGTTGTGAAGATAAAATAATATTTGTAAAAAGTGCTTAGCACAGCATATGACACAGTGTATACTACATAAATGTGCATATTATTATATATAATATAAGATGGTGTCTTATAAGAAAGGTTTGGTTCTTATTTCTTTACTTTGGCTCTTTGTGCTCCCTACCATGGTACCTGCAGGGAAGACTTAATTAAAGGTTAGGTTTTTGGATCATGTTTAAGGTCTTTTCCAAAGGAGAGAGTAGAAAAATATTTACTGTCCATTGTAAATTTGGTATGGGGCAAGTATTTATTTTCTACACTCAAAAGAAATACTTAACATAAAAGCTTCTCAAACACACACATTGATAGACAAAAGAAAAACTTAAACTAACCAAGTATTTTAAGAATATTTATTAAAATAAGGATTTATGTATTACTAACAGTTTTTTACCCCACATTGAACATTAACTTTAAATTTGATATTTGATTGACCATTGAGTTGCAGATTTTTTTTTTTCCTGATTCAGGTACTGTGGCTATTGACTTACAAGATACCAGCTGTAGATCTGCAAGTGGCCCTAACTTGGCTCTTCCTCCAGAGGGGTGCAAAGACACCAGAAGACCTAGTATAGCTCCTGTTTTGGAGGTTGCAGACACATCATCAATTCAAACATGTGACCTTCTAAGTGATCAGTCTGAAGATGAAACAACACCAGATGAAGACATTTCTACCAATTTAGAGTATGTATAATTCTCTACGGGATGACAGGTGTAAACATTTTGTATGGGGAAACAGTAAGGAATACCTTAATTAATCTTTACTAGATTTTTTTCATTTGTTATCGGTATGTATAATGCCCCCACTGCTTGCAAAAGGGGCTCTTTCCTTCCTTGATATGCCAGGTAAACTTGAGTCATTCATTCTGCTTCAGGATTTCATGTTGGAGAAAAAATGAACTTAGCCTTCAGCTTTCTAGGAAGTAGCAGAGACAGTGACTTCATAGAAACTATAGTCTGATATTTGCTTCTGAACGTATTTTGATTAATAAAAAAGATGATCCCTTAAGCTTATCCTCTTACAACATGATCTCAAAGCCCTCCTCCATCTGTTCACCCACTTTTGGCTGTTATTTAAAAGCTTATCTTCTTCCTAAAATGTAACTCCGAGATCTGAAGTACTCCAAGTTTTATCTGACCAGACCACAGGAAGCAGGATTCTTACCTTCCTATTTCTCAGCAATGTGCTTTGCTTAATTGAACCTAAGATTAAGACATCTGTGATTGCAATCTCACCTGCCATTTTAGTCCTGTGAAATGTTGTTCTAGACTTGTTAAACTGTGCGATATGCCTCCTTGGCTAATGAAGGACTTTCATAGTCAGACCTGTGGAGAGTTAAGAAGGTGGGCTCAGCTCATGACAAAGAAGCAGAATAGTAGTTCCACAGAGAAATTCTGTTATTGCTTTCATGAGACCACTTCTTTAGCCATTTCCAGTACACTTCTACAAACAAGCCTCTCAATGCTATTTTTAGGGTGCTTTTATTATATATTTCATAATCATCTAGGTCCTAGAGAGAAATCATGCTGCTTTCCATAGTACTGACAAGTCAATTTTGTGTCATAGACCCCTGTGACAATCTGGTAAAGTCTGTGAATTCTTTATCAGAATAATGTTAGATATGTAAAGTAAAACATATAGAATTATGATAACATTACAAATGATATTGAAACAGTTATCAAAATATTTTTAAAATTCATAGACCCCAGATTAAGAACATCTGCTTCAGATAAAGTTTTAAGCCTGATTCAAATAGAAGTCTTGTCTATATGTACATTTATCTAGAAAATTTACTTGTAATCTTCTACTTATTTTCATTATGAATATTACATATTGGTAATAATGGTGTGAAAAATTAGCTGGTGTATCTACTGAAGAGGGTGAACGAGTAATGATTGTTATGGCAGCAAGATGCCTGACCTTGGAGTCATGGAGACATGGGTAGAAGAAGTCCTATCTCTGGCAAATACTAACTATATGACTACAGGTAAGTCAATTAAGCTCTTAGTGACCCAGGCAACTCCTTAAGACTAGAAGTCATAGGTGAGTTGCCAAACTGCATTAATTTGCTGTGGGTTTCTAGCATTGATGAAATCATAGTTAAGGACTAAGATTAAATTAAAGATGATTTTTAAAGTGTTTGCAAAGGTGTCAGAATTAATAATGATATTTTTAAAAATACTTCAGTCTCTTTGGAAATATTTTTTCATAGCAATCTTTAATGAGAAGCAAAAATATGTTTCTTTACAGATTCTAGCTATAACAGAATAGAAAAATATCACCGTGGTTTAATTTGCCGTCATAATATTGCATGACTTACTCAACAGAATGATTTCATATTATTTTTCAGGTATGCTAAAGGCTACCCCCCTTACTCTCCATATATAGGAAGTTCTCCCACTTTTTGTCATCTCCTTCATGAAAAAATTCCAGTTTGCTGTCTAAGATTAGACAAGGTAAATGCTTTTTCTTTATGGATACCTGATGTATTCAATGATATAACTAGTATGCAAAACTATAGTTTGAATATCTTAAATGTGTGCCCATTTTGAAAAAAATGTTTTTTTTTTGGAAAGGCATATAAGAAGAAATAATCTTATGAATGTAAAGTGAAATTGAACTTAAAAATCAGTTAATTTTATATACATTAGAGACAGCATGGCATAGACAAAGTTTGGATTGCAGTCCAACAGATTCTAGCCTCCTTGTTTCAGTTTCTTAATTTGTAGAATGAGGAGGTTGCATTGCATTGGACATCATTTTAAAGATATGCTAGGTCAAATTTCTGTGAATGATTTTTTTTTTTTGGCTAGGCAGTGGGGTTGAGTCACTTGCTCAGGGTCACACAGCTAGTAAATGTTATGTGTCTGAGGCCACATTTGAACTCAGGTCCTCCTGAATCCAGGGCCGGTGCTCTATCCCCTGCACCACCTAGTTGCCCCTCTGTGAATGATTTTAAACTTTTTCTTGATGCTATATGAAATCCCCTAAATTTTTGCTACTCTCACCAAGTAGAAAGCTTACAACTACTTTTTCTCTTGCTGATGCCAGTCAACAACTTCTTAACTCTTACTTATATGCATGTATTAATTTGTTTTACAAACTTTGAAATTTGTAAAATGCTTTTCTCAAAACAACCCTTTGTGGTAGGGATTCCAAATATGATCATCATCTCCTCTTTACAGATAAGAAAACTGGAGTTTAGAGATACTTGTCCAAGGTCAGCAAATAATAAATATTAGAGCTAAGACTCAAACCAAAGTCTTTGTTAATTCCTGAGACCAGTGCTCTTTCTGGTACGTTATACAGTCTTTCCATTCTTTCCCTTGACATTGAAATATATTAACATTCATGAGGGTCACAGTAAACTAGGTCATTCTAGCAAAGGAAATATGTCAAGTCACTCAGTTCTTAAAGTTTCCAATTTATTGTGAAAGGAACCATATATTCAGACCTTCAAGATGTTTCTGTTTCATAATAGCAGATTATATGATTTCCCAACTTTTAGTTTCAGAAGTATTAATCTTGAATAATGATTTTAATAGCATAATTTAAAATGCACATTATGCTTTAGAGTTCTTTCTAATCTTGTTTCTACACAAATGTTTAACATGCTTTTTTCCCCCTTCTTTGTAGGAATTAAAATATTTCTCAACTTTAGGTGAGAACTAGAGGCTAGTGGATCAGTCTGAGTCTGAAGAATATTCTTTCTTCCTACCAGATTCTCAAATTGATAGAACTTGTGCTTGGTGGGAGTTATAGAGTCATTAGGCTTCCTCCAGTTGAGAAATAATACTAACTACTGAATTCCTATGGCCCTTGAAGAAATAAAATTTGTTTTCTTTTTTTTAACAAGTATTAAAAAAATTAATACTCCTTTATACAACATAGTGCAGAAGAAAGATTGTCATATGAAACTACAGATCTCTTACTTGCAACTTGCCTTTTCTTTTAAGTATTTAATAAAATCAACATGTAACTTTTTTTTTTCTACTTTTTGGTGAAGCGATTGGGGTGAAGTGACTTGCCCAGAGTCACACAGCTAGTAAGTGTCAAGTGTCTGAGGCTGGATTTGAACTCAGGTCTTCCTGACTCCAAGGCCAGAACGCTATCCACTGTACCACCTAGCTGCCCCAACATGTAACTTTTAAAGCTGCCCTTTTTTTGTTGATAAATCAAAATACATTGATAAAAGAAAAAAAAAATGCCCTGCTTGTCAGATTCTAATTTCCCTTCGGTGCATTTTTATAAAATGCTTCAATTACCCACTTTTTTCTTTTTTTTTTACTTCGTTTTTGGTAACCATATTGCAAACATACTCCCTTTCACACCTCTCTCCCATTAAGAAAGAAAGAAATAAATGAAGGAACAAAGGAAGAAAGAAAATGAAAACCCTTGTAACAAATATGCATATTTAAGCAAAATGGATCCCCACATTGGCTATGTCTAAAAATGATTGTCTCATTTTGCACCTTGAGTCCATCACCTCTCTCTTGGGAGATTGCATTAGATTGCATAGATCTGAGTTCCTAAGCCTTCCAATGTTTTTCTTTGCAATATCGTTGTTGAACAAATATAATTTTGGTAATGATAAATGAAAAAAAAATGAGTTAGAACGAAGAGGTCACCAAGGAGCCACCAAGATGAGCCACTCTAATTGATCCGTCCTATCTACACTTTACCTTATCTCAGCCCTTTTAAAACCTTAAAGGGAGATTGACTCCTGAGCACAAAGACATTTTGGAAAAAGCTGTGGGCATGACAGGTCTAAAAATATGCCTAGTTTTATTTGATTGTTTAGCTATTTTTGTATACTTCAGTTAACTATTTAATTTTCATGTGTCAACAGAGAAACTCATAAATCATAGATTAATTAATTGATTGAAGTAATTATACTAGGTCTGAGAATTCAAAGATATGTATGGTTTGAGCTCTGCTGATAAGGAACTTAAAATTTAAAGAGATACAATGAGAAATTGGAGAAGAGAGAAAGAAATTCACCTAGGAAGGCCAGAGAAGGAGTCATGGAGGGTGTGGTTCTGTGTTAGGCACTGAAGAAAGGGATGGGATTAACAGAAGTATATAGGGCTAAGTTAATGGAGAGAGAGGGAGGAGGAAGTACTTTCTGGGTATAGGGAATGGTGTGAACAGCAAAGACCTGGGCATAGAATAAGGTAGGATGAAAACAGTAGACTGAGACTAGTTCTATTTTGGTTGAATTCATCCCTCAGGTTCCTTCCTCATCTGAATATAGGGCAGTTTAGGAAAGAACTGCTCTTGTTTTTTAGAGATACATTGTTGGGAACTAGGGAAACAAGAAGGAAGAAACTAGTTGAAAAATAAAAAAAATCTTATTAAAACGTAAACATTGGCTTTGTGCTGAGTATTTACATTGTAGATACAGTAAATATAGATTATTGCATGGAATTATTTTTAAAATGGGAAATTACTTATTTCAGGACTAAAAAGTTTTTGATTAAATATTTCAGTAATCAAATGAGGATATATAACTTTAAATAAAATAGCTTACATGGAATAAAAATCCCTGATTAAATGATTAAATAATGACTAATGGAAAACAAGGAAAGTCCTTCTACAAATGTTATCAAAGGAGTATCTCTCATTAAAATATTAATTTTAAAGAAGTCAGTGTTCTGCAGAATGAGTTGGAACTATTTTTAAAGACTCTCTCAGACTGTCAAAAACAATTTATTTCATTATCTTATTTTTAATAAGTTTCAAAGATTTAAAATCCCAATAAACCATATTAACATGCCTTTATAAGTGTATTTAAGAGCTCTTTGAGATTGACTTATGTCAACACACAGATGCAGTGCCTAGCAGTGCTCAGTATGTAGTAGGAACTCACTGTTAGTAGATTAAAACTGTAGACATGTGACTTAATTATAATAATATTAACACAGTTAATAGATCCATATTCACAATTTGTTCTGGAATATGTTTTATGACTAAGTCACAGAACACAGTACTCTTGGGAAAATTGCCAAGGGGAAGGGAGAAATATATAGGGGGCATGAATAAGCAGAAACACATTCCAAACAAGAGCAGGAAAAGATATATAAAAGACGCCATTTAAAAATATATGAATGAAAAAAGAACCTCAGTGATCCATATGGCAAGAGTAAAGGATGAACAATGGACAGCCTGAGTGTTTAGTAGTTTCCTGACAAAGTCAAGATAAGTCAGGGAATAGGACACTATCAAATTTTGAAGGGATTTCCTGTGACTACTTTATTAGAGAACATGGATGAAAGTTGCATAGGGTGATAGCCAGGGATGGATGGGCTATGATCTGCATGGCTGGAGGGGAGTGCCAATACTAATGACATAATAGATCCATTTGAGTATATTGAATAAAATAGGATTCAAAATTTTAATGGAATATACTTTAAAAATAGAACTACAAATTATCACACACAAGTTTCATTAAATTGACATTGTTTATATAATTAAAGGAAATTTTTTTTTTCTGTGAAGTAAAAAGAACAAATCATTTTTACAATAATGATATTTTAAAAACAGAACTTTATTGAATCCACTTCTTTTTTATGAAAAAAAAAGTTTTGGCTTCTGGTCAAATAAGCTGATGTGTGTGGGAAAATATCACTGAAAACTTTCCATTTTGGATTAATAAAATTTGCATAAATCACCACATATTAACAATACCTTCCAGTAATTCTGTAGATCTATGATTTTATTAATTTATTGTCTGTTGGTTGTATTGGTGTATATTATAATCCATCTGCGCTTAAAAGGATAGCAAAATCCAGTTTCACAGAATCATACAAAGGAGATGAGATTTGTTTTCTTGTGTCCTGCATTAATGGGGCTGAAAAAGTAACCCTGAAAAACATTGGATTATTAAAAAATTTATCTCAACATTCTCCACTCTTCACAATTCACTATTCATAATAGTATACATAATTCTATTTTTAAAATACTTAGTATATTCGGGGTTCTATAAAATCCTGTTACTGTGAACAAGAGATTTTCTTTTCTTCTTTATGTAAACCTCTAGAAAGTTTTCCTCTGTGTAGTTAATATGGGATGATAAAGAGCACAATGCATTTGGAAACACAAAACTTAACTGATCATTTAATTTCTCTATGTCTCAGTTTCTTTATCTTTAAAAAATGGAGGTAATACTCCACTAGCTTATTTTTTTAAAACATTCATCTTTTTGAATTCCAAACCCTCTCTGTCCCTCAAACCCCTCCCCAACATATTGAAAAGGCAAGCATTATGATATCAATTATACATGTAAAATCATGCAAAACATATTTATATATTAGCTATGTTGCAAAAAAGCAAGAAAAATACTGCGAAAAACAGTATGCTTCAATGTGCATTCAGAATTCATCATTTCTGTCTTTGGAGATGGATAGCATTTTCCATCATGAGTCCTTTGGAACTGTCTTGAAGTATTAGCAGAATAGCTAAGTCTTTCACAATTGATCATTCTTATGATATTGCTATTACCATGTATTATGTTCTCCTGGTTTTGCTAACTTTATTTTGTGTCAGTTCATGTAAGTCTTCCTAGGTTTTTCTGAAATCATCCCGCTTGTCATTTCTTATAACACAATTGTAGGGGGCAGAGCCAAGATGGTGGAGTGAAAGCAGTGACTTGCTTGAGCTCTCCCCCAAACCCCACCAGATATCTATAAAAATGGCTCTAAACAAATTCTAAAGCAGCAGAACCCACAAAAAGACAGAGTGAAACAAATTGCCAGCCCAAGACAACCTGGATGGTTGATTGGAAAGGTATATCGCGCCAGGCCAGGAGAGGAGCACAGTTTGGCGTGGGCACGCAGGCCACAGCGAACCTGGAGCAGGCCTCAGAGGGCTGAATCATGGGCAGCTGTGGCGGTTTCCACTCTTCTGAACCCCCAAACACCAAAGACAACTTAAAAGGTCAGTGGGAAAAGTCTGTGACTGCAGTGAGAGAGAAGGTAGGTCTCAGTCACAAGTCCCGAGCGAGACCCCAGGGTAGCAACTGCATCCTGAGCTTCCAGCTCACAGACTGAGGGGGAATCGAGTGACTGATCAGAGGGGGATTGCAGGGATCTCTTTGCCAGTGCTAAGACAGGAATCTCTTGCTTTGCCCACGCTTGGATCTGGGTCACAGTTCTGAGGGGTGGTCCTGGGGCAAGGAGGAATGCTGACTTGGTGGAGCTTGTTGTGGCGGTGGAGAGGAAACACCTCACCCCTTATCATACCACCTTGGAAGAACTGAAAATTTACAGGTCCCTAGAACTATCTCTGAAAACAACTGTACAAACCCCTGAAGCTTGGGAAAGTACATTCTCCACATTAGAAGCAGACTCTTACCTTAACAAAGAGTTTAAAACTCAAGTAATTGACCAGATCATGCGAAGGCAGCACAAAAAGGGTCAGACTATATTATCTTACTTTGGTGACAAAGAAGATCAAAACATACAACCAGAAGAAGACAACAAAGTCAAAGTTCCCTCATCCAAAGCCTCCAAGAAAAATATGAATCAGTCCCAGGCCTTGGAAGAGGCCAAAAGGGATTTTGAGAAGCAAGTAAGAGAAGTAGAGGAAAAACTGGGAAGAGAAATGGGAGTGATGCAAGAAAATCATGACAAACAAGTCAACAACTTGCTAAAGGAGACCCAAAAAAATACTGAAGAAAATAACACCTTAAAAAATAGCCTAACCCAAATGGCAAAAGAGGTCCAAAAAGCCAATGAGGAGAAGAATGCCCTAAAAAGCAAAGTTGGCCAAATGGAAAAGGAAGTCCAAAAGCTTACTGAAGAAAATACTTCCTTAAAAATTAGAATAGAGCAATTGGAAGCTAGTGACTTGATGAGAAATCAAGACACTGTAAAACAAATCCAAAAGAATGAAAAATTAGAAAACAATTGTATTCCATCACAACCATATACCACAACTTCTTTAGTCATTCCTCAGTTGATGGGAATTCTCCCCATTTCCAATTCTTTGCCACCAAAAAAGGAGCTTCTATAAATATTTTTGTAAATATAAGTTCTTTACTCTTTGATCTCTTTGGGATCCAGACCTAGTAGAGGTATTTCTGGGTTAAAGGGCATTTTTGAGTTTTAAAGCCCTTTAGTCATAGTTCCAAAATGTTCTCCAGAATAGTTGGACCCACTTACAACTCCACCAACAAGGCATTAGTGTTCCAATTTTCCCACATCTTCTCCAACATTTATCATTTTCCTTTTTTGTCATGTTAGCCAATTTGATAGGTGTGAGATGGTACCTCAGAGTTACTTTAATTTGCATTTCTCTATTATTAGTGACAAGGCATTTTTTTCATATGACTATCGATAACTTTAATTTCTTCTTCTGAAAGCTGACCATTTATCAATTGAGAATAGCTCTTATTTTTATAAATTTGACTCAGTTCCCTATATATTTGAGAAATAAAACCTTTATCAGAGGGTGTGAATTTTCCCCAAAGTTTCCTTTAACTAGCTTATTCATTAAGATTATCTGTTCATGAATATATTAAAGCCATCTTAACTGTTAGTAAATAATAGTATATTTTACATGAATGTAGTAGTTTTAAAAAACATTTTGCCATGACTGTATGCTTAAAACTTCTATTTTATTTCACATAATATTTTTTTGTACCAAGTTCCAGTATTACTTCAGATTTGTATTTTGTCTGTTTTTTTCTTCTAGAGTTGCCAACATAACTATTATGAGGATGCAAAAGCTTATGGATTCAAAAATAAACTAATTATTGTTGCAGCTGAAACTGCTGGAAATGGATTGTATAATTTTATTGTTCCTCTCAGGGCATATTATAGACCAAAGAAAGAACTTAATCCCATAGTCTTGCTATTGGATAATCCGTAAGTATGCTTTAAAATATGTTAATAGCAGAAGTTTTTTATTAAATTGTGTTATGTGCATTACAAGGATTTTATTATCATTTGCATGAACTATTTTAAATCAGAAACATTATGGCACATGATTCTTTGGGAAGTACATGCTGTGCTACTTTACACATGAAAGAATATTGTATATAGCATCAATGAATTACTTAGAACATTTATTAATGGGCAATTTGCAAATGACCATCATCATGCAAAAACAACAGGAAGCACATGGCTGAGAGAATAATTACAGTAATTTTCATTAAATTAATCAACTAGCCCAGAAAATCTCCACAGAAACTGGAAATTTTGTCTTCTTTCTAGAGAACCAATAATTAGTGGAGACACACAATAAAGTTCCATTCTTATTTTAGACCATAGTCTCTAAAGCATCATCTTAAGTAAATAGTTACAATTAAGTCACTGTTAATAAAACAAGAAATGTAAATTTCATAATGTGAGTTCCTTAATTTTTATTACATTCATTTATTCAGAAATGTTAGATGGTTCCCTGAAATTACATGGTGCGCCAACTTAGATTCATGTGTAAATTCTAATCCATCCCATTCCTTGATATCTCTGAGAATACCCCTAATTCCATTAAATTTGGAGAATTAGATGGTTGAGTGTTTTTGCCTCTCCAGTAGTTATACCTTTGGCCAAGTAGTTTTGAAAGCTGACTTCTTCATTTTGACAGTATACACAGACCAGATTAGGAGAATCACTGCAACATGAGGCCAGATTTGCCTTTAAATGGAGGATGAGTTACCTCCCTTCATAGAAAGTAGCAGATATGACCAGGTTAACTTGGTTAACCCCTGATGAGGGGTTTGGAGAGTCTTAGTAGGGGACTTAGTTCATACTTCTTCTAGCCTGCATGAATTGTTGGGGCCAGGAGAGGGCACCAAGTCTCTACTATTGTCTAATTAGTGGTCTTAGATTTAAGTAGTTTGAAGAGCAACACATTAGGTTTGTCTTGAGAAGCAGGAGGTGATAATGAATCAAAGAGAATCAGGACCCAGGAATATGTTTGGGGTTGATCTTTAAGGCAAGCTCCAAATAAGAAATAATTTGAACCAAGACAAAGAAAGAAACAAAATAACTTCATTAAAATATTTTTGAAATTGTAGAGAAGAAGCAAAAAGTAGAGAATAAATATTGCCCAATCTATATTACTACCTTGTTAAATATAACATATATACTTCTTCTAAAAAACTATGTAACAGAAATTCAACTTCTTATAAAAACATCATCCTTGTTCTTTGTACATTAAAATGTTTGTATTTTTTGAGGATTATTAGATTAACAATTTTTGAAGGGCTAGGACAGTTAACAATTTTTGAAGGGCTAGGA